TTTTATGTTCTTGTTTTTCCAATATACAGTTGGAAAAGAAATAACTGTGTCTGACGATGCTAGGGTGTACGCCTGTAAAGTTTTAAATGCAGTTCTGGTATTTAGCCTTTAAACTTAATGAGATTAAACACAGAATCCATCCATACAATTTACCCTAATGACTGCTTTGTAGTTGTTTTCAGCAGCCAAATCGTGTCACGGTGTCTGCCATGGTTGGGCAGTAGCAGCTACTTTTCGAGGAGAAAACAGGCTGGAAAATGCCTGCTGTGAACTCAGCCATGGCCAAACTGCTCAGGAGCAGGCTGAGGGGCTGCCAGGCTGCTGGGAAGCCTCCATAGGGACCTCCTCACCTCCACCCTTTGCCCTTCATGGCCAAAGCTGTGCTTGTTCTCTGCATCTGCACCAGCGCTGGTCGCAGCCAGACCCCTCCTGCAACGAAAGCTGATGCTATGCATGGCTTTCACCAAGTTAAAAATTTGGGCTTTCCATTTTTTAACATGAAAATAATGATAAGCTCCTCATCTGGAGGCTGGATAGTGGCACAAACTGCCTTTCTACTGGTGTAACTTCTCTCCTTTCTGTTTAGGACAGTGTTATGCTGCCATGACCATTTTTACTGATAGGGAAGTAACTGCTGTGTCTGCGGCTGTGGTGAGGGTGAGACTATGGGCTTTGCTTTACCTATACCCAGTTAAAGCAGTAAAATTCATGTGTGCAAATACACTTTGAGATTTACAAATATTGAGAATCTGTTGCTTTTATTACTCGAGGCAAAAATCCACTGTGGGTGACAGAGTCGAGTCAGCTCACGGTGATGTTTTTCCACACAGACAACTTCACCCTGCAAATGCTTTCTTCTTCCCCTTCCACACAAATACCTAATGACATAGATCCAAGCTAAGGAAATGTAACTGCGGCAAAGTCTTAGCTTGAAAATAAAGCTATGCATAGCCCTTGCCCTGCTATGCTGGGGAATGAAACCCATGGGATGGCCCGTTGTGGGTCTGGCACTCACTTCTTCAACATGAGCAAGCAAACACCTGCGGGGCCAGCGAGCTGGTGGGGCTCCTTGTGAGCTGTAGGGCTCAGTTTCATCTTGGAACCAAGTCTTCACAAGGAGGGGGACAGAAAAATCTCTAGACAATTTTCACTGTTAGTGTATTTATACTTTGACAGTGGGCACTTCTGAAAGGCTTTGGAGGCTTTGGTAATACCAGTAATACCTATGACGACTGGCTGAGGGAAATCATCTCAAGGCACCAGGTGATGCTCATACAATAATGCATGTTAAACTTCCACATGGATGGTGTCATTTGGGCTGAATGTGACTTTAGTCTGCTGTAGCTGAATACTGATAGCTTAAAGCAAGAATAAACCAAGGCCGCTCCACCAATGAAGAAGAAAGCTGCAGAGATGTACTGACCTTTTGTTCATCACTTTAGTTTTCTTAAGCAGCTTTATACAGCAAGTCCCATGCAATGTGAGTTTGCAAAAACATATTTAATTTTTATTAAGAAAGATCTTTGAGAGTAACCTGGAAGGATCAAATTAGAGATGGACCCAGTTCACTCTTCTTCCAGGATAAAACTGTGTCCCTGTATGGCTTCTTCTACATGAGTGGGCACATCCATCTCTCAATACAAGTGTGTGATTCAAATCAAATCCAAACTGAATAAGAACATGTTGTCTGGAGATCTACAGTAGGTGTGTGTAAAAATACATGCTAGCATTTTGGAGCACATTCAAAGTGATTGCTAAGCCACAGTGAAAAATGGTCGACAAACAGTGAAAGAACAATTTTACTTGGCATTTTATTCACTTAACAGAAACATTCACTTATCAAGTATCACTGAAGTGCAATTTACAGAACTTAGCAGCAAATTCACATATGTAAATTCAGATTTATTTTCTTTTGTTGTCTTTTTTGTTTCTTTTTTTTTACAAATATTACAAATGTACATCCATTAGTACAGTATTGCCATTCACTCATGCGTGTTATGTACAGAACCATCACTAAAGAACTACTACTGAGCAAGTTTTCCTTTGCTTCAAGAAATGCTGCGTGTAGGTCATGTGTGCTTCTGGAGTGTGGTCCCATCACACTCTATCGCTGCACGTAGTGAGAAGAAGTAGACGTTTAAGGTCATATTCAACCCTAGTGCAAGCAGGTGCAACTCCGTTGCCTTCAATGAGATCAGCTGATGACCACCTGCAGTGGAGACTGGGTTTGGTCCCCACTACTAACTTCATTCTGGCAGCTGAATCCAGGATTGCATTTATGTATTTCCTGCAACAAAGGATAATTCAATCCCACCACACTTTTCTTTTTGTTCTTAAAAATAACCAGGCACGGTGTTTTGTCACAGTAGCTGCAACACCGGCCTGTGGAGCTATATGCATTAGTTGAGCTGATGTCATGCCAGGGCTGGAGGAGGGTGGATGAGGGCAGGGAGATGTAAGGAGGAGCCTTGAGGTCTCTTGTGTGCTAGATAAAGATTAACTTGGAGAGGAGAAGTAGAAGACACTGCTTCCCTCTGCCCTGTGGATCGCCGCATGAGAAACCTTGTCCTCCTCTCTGTTTGCCCTATGGTTTCTCTCCCTCTATGGGAGCAGCCAGAGCCCCTGGGACCACCACTGCCAGTGTCACCCACAGCTTCTCCTGCACCCCCAGTCGTGGGCCAGACCCCCCACCCGCCCGCTGCCCCTCTGGGCACCTTTGCTGCCCAGACCACACTGGAGGTCTGCACCAGTGACAGCTGTGTTAGAGGACGGGACGTGTGGAGGTACCAGGAAGCTCCAGAAGGTGCCAAAAATATTCTGAATGTTAATCAGAAGAGCTGACAAAGTGGTCGAAGTATTGACAAAGTGGTTACCACAAAATGCTTCCATTATTGAAACGTCTCCGTTTTTTTTTTTTTTTAACTATTTCTACTCTAAGGAATTTTTTTTAAAATATTTTTGGTAGTTAATATGGAATGTATTATTTTGCTGAAAAGGTTTCTGGAAGGGGAGAGCTTTGTTTTATCTAATTTAAAAATTCTAGTTTATCACAATTGTTTTTATACAAGACACTATAGATACATCTTGTAGTTTATAATCTAAAAATAAAATCTCATCAAAATACTGTAGCTATTCTATTGTGGGCATCAATAAACAATGTATTTACTGTATATGGCTCTCCAAACATGATAAACCCTATACAAAGAGCATCTATCTTTATTGATAGGAACAGTTTCCCGTGTAAAGGAAATTACATGGAAAAATATGAGCCTTGTGTTGTTTGAAAAGTAACTCAGCTTGACAGTTCTGAGAAAATACCAAGACAATTATCACAAATCAGTAGCAGCATGTTATATACAGATTTAAAGAGAATCACAGGAATAAAAAGAAAACAGTAGTTATATACCCGCAAATCCTGTCATTTAAAAACCCCAAAACTGAAAGAAATACATAGGGCATTTGAAAGTTGGTTCTGCAGTGGGACTGTCAGCTCAGTTCTCCCATGACTGTATCATCTTCTGCATTCTGATGAAGTTTGGGATGGTTCAAAGATGAGATTATATCAGACCCAGCCACAGTTATGAAGAAAATATTTAACTGTTGAGTGCTACTCACCTCCTAACCGAAAAACCCCACCTGCTTTTCAAATTGCAGATGAACATGAACAATAATAATAACAATACTTAGCATTTACACAGAGCTAGAATCTGAAAGCTCTTACATTGAGTAAGACCTTACCCAGGCCTGTAGTTGCATCTACTGCACTTACGTCAATTGGACTATGTGGGGAGGTAAAACTCACTGCAAGAGTGACAGAATCTGGCTTACATCGTTGCATATGACCAGAGCACTTTGTTCCTGCCAAGTTTCTTAGATGTGAATCAGGTAAGTATCATTATCCCCATTTGACAGATGGAGAAACTGAGGCAGGAAAGAGCCAAGTATCAAATGTGCTCTCTAGTTTAGGATGTCATAGCTGTGGCTACTCAACCCAGCGATTTTTCAGATGTACGGAGCATCTTGAGCTCATACCCACTTAATATAGAGCCTTGGATCCTCACAAGCTTTGAAATCTGGGGCTCTGGATCCTGGCTCCAGCCTGCCTGATTTTAGGCAGCTACCTGAAGCTCCAGAGCTGCCGCCATCGTCACACCGCTCTTAACCGTCAGCCGCTGCAGAGCTGTGGACGTCCGCAGGCAGAGCAC